ACCAAACTTCATGACAACAGTCATAAACATTTATAAAGACTCCTTCATATTTATGTCAGTCTTATGCACACTCCTTCAAATAAATGTTACTGTTTCAAAGCAGGTAGATTTCCTGACTCAGGAATGTCAGCACAGACATGATTTAGATGCATTTTATGTTCTGGTGTCTTTCCCATTTTGAACAGTGGCTCAGAAATTTGTGTCACATTGTATTTATACAAAAGAGGAACAGGCAGTCATAAATTACTAAATGTGTTCAAGAACACAATTAAAATAAAGTATAGGGAGATGTTTTGGTGACATTTATGTTACAGGTGCAACAAATAGATCATTAACAACATTATTCTCCACAGAATTTACTCTTTAAGGTTTGATCTCCTTATGAAACGACTGGAGTAGAAAAATAATTTATTTCAAGGCTTTTTAGAATCAGATCTCTTCTGCTCCTCCTAAAGCAGCATACCTTCTTCCTGGCACAGGGTCACGTAATAGGAAAATTAGATGATCCGTCTTTTTTATCCTCCTACACTCCTCTTCCCAGATAATTAGACTTCCTACAGCACAGATTGCACCTATACTGGAACTCTGAGCAATTTCTCAAGTATAGTATCACTTTAGGTCAGAAACAGTCATTAAAAAAAGTGCATAATGAACATGATCCTCATTACCATTAAGAATTTGTCTAAATTATTTTAAAAATTAGTTTCAACAGCAGCTGACACGCTCAGAGGTTTTCATCACAAAGGAAGCCATTTTGGTTCCTCTGGTGACAATAGCACATTAGAGAGCAGCAGCTGTTGAACTAATGCAATAATGGAGTAAAAGAGACTGTTTGCCTGTTTGAATGGAAATAAAGAACTTATTCAGAAAATCCCTCCCACAGTGTGTTCACCCCCTGTGACTCTCTTCATGGTTGAAACTGTAGAGCCTTAAAGTGCTTGAATGGCTTTTTTTCTACTTAAATCTTTCTCACTGCAGCGCTGAAATGTCTGTGTATCAGTTCAGGATTAAAATAATGGTTGGAGCAATTTGAAAGCCACATGCTTTTAGAAAATCAATGGTAAACTCTTGAAACTTTGTGGGTATGTCTTTGTGTTTAATGTGGTTACAAGTTGTTTTTTTTCCCCACAGACTGAGTGAGTTAGAGTCTGAGTGGTCCTGTCCATCTGATCGATAAACCTCTCATACGTCCATTCAGCCATTGATCAACTTTAAGAGAGATGATCTAGTTTAGAAGACGCTTACTAAGCGTTTACTTCAACATTTTAGTTCTTCACTACCCAGAAGTTTTTGCAGAGGTTTGGTTTGACACAGTCTGGAGGTTGCCTCACTGAACAGCAGTTATACAAGGCTATGTAGAGTGGCTTTTTTTTTATAGTATTATTATTGATTTGCTGTGGCACTATCAGTAAAACAATAAATGATTTTTCCGGAAATGCTCATGAGAAATGACCAGAAATTACCAAAAAGGGTGCAGAAATGTCTAAATTGCCTCCAGTAATCTTACAATTATAAAGACCACTAACAGAAAATACAGTTCAAAGTGAACATAGTTATGTTTATTGTTTAACATGAGGTACAAGAGCTTATAAAAAATGATTTGCATACATTTATGTAACTGGTAATATCTTAGCATTTTCTGTTTCAGAAAAAGATGTTTCAAAAAAAGGATTTTAATCTTTGCTCACCTCAGTGTCAGAAGTTTTAAAGTAGAAGTATTATGAAAGCAATTTTAACATAATATTTTAATACCATACCTGGAGTGTTGCTTTGTTCCTTTCATGCATTTTGGAAAAATACTTTAACCTCCCTTGGCACCCATTTTGGTCTCATCTCCCCTTTTCCACAAAGATCCTCCTCAGAGCTGCAGTTTCCAAGCTGAGCTTCCACCTTAGAGATCTCTCATCCCCACTCAGCTCCTGCAGACTAGCCAGCAGCAATTAGCAAACACTGCATATCAGCTGAGCTCATCATACCATCAGTCCAACGCTGGTAAAACGTTGTTAAAGGCTTAAGCAGGAGCTTCTTAAAGAGACAGAGGCCCAATTTCAATTCTGAAGTCAATTTTCTTTTAAGTGCTGTTTGATATTTACATAATTTTTATAACTTAAGCTTACATACCCTGTGTTTTTGTTATAAATGTGTGGAAAAACTTTGTTGATATTCGATTAATGTGGACGTCATTAAAAAATCATCATCCTCCTACCACTTCCTGTCAACTTCTCCGTCGTTTCTGCAAGTAGTAACATCCGGTTGTTGGTCACATGACTCAAGTGAGATCTTTCCATTGCAATTTTGTGAAATACACTGATATTAAAAGTTTTAAAAAACATCTCATCCTAGCGCAAATAATGTGAACTTCCATCTTTCTATTAAGCAAAATTATTTTCATAATTCCAAGTTATACTATTATAATGTCAACGTTACGCAATTGTGTTATAAAATGGCACAATTGAGTCTGGAATGTGTGCCTGGAAAATACATAATACAGGTCCCTTAATATTCTGGCACTGAAATGAGAGAAAGCTTGAAGACAAACAGATTGTTTGCTGTTCCCAAAATACGCCAGCTGATTTATTTGTTGTAGCCTTGATAGTGCTGCATTTTATGCTGTAAAAGAAAGTCATTTTTATTACAAATGTTCTCTGATATGTATGTTTTAGTGCTTTCTTTTATGATCTTCAGTAGATTGTGTGCAACACTAAACCTATTTTATTTGCATAAATGTTCTGCCATCTGCCTCTTTTATTTATAACCTCAATGTAAGACAGTGCTTTAGTGAATCTGTTGAAAGGTCTATATTTTTATTATCTTCCCTGCAGTTTAGAGATAAAAGGTGCCTTTGAAAGCGAATTTGACTGTTGAGCACAGGGGGATGAAAGTGTCTTAAATGAGGGGGTGAAATTTTCTCAAGACCGAGCACAAGTGGAGCGGAAGAATCAGTGACTGTGAGATCGTTTCATGAAATGATGAAAAACCAACAAACTGAAAGAGTAATTAGTAATCAGGACTCAACAGGTGAAAACCTCCAGGCACAATCACTGATGAAAAGACCCCTGGAGAAATGCATTCCTAATTTCATTCTTCTTCTTCCGATATTCGGATGGATTCATGTTTTAAATCTGCCAGCGGCTTCACCAGATCGGGGTGAGAAAGCACAGCATGCCTGAATCCTGGTGTGCTGCATGTGGATCAGGATGATGAATTGCAAATACAGCAAGGTGGATTTGTTATTTGTAGTATTTCTGAATACCTTTAGACTTTTTGTTTGTTTGCACTTTCATCTTAGCTTGCCTGTCAAAGAGAAATCATAAGGAAATGTTATTTTTCCAGCTCATTATAATTGTTTACAGACACTAAAATGTCCTGAAACAGATGAGGAAATGACCATAAACCCAGATAATATCAATAGATATATAAGCAGATTATAATATAAACAAGAAAAAAATTAATTAGGGTTATGTTGCATTATTTTTGATTGAATCATACTTGAATTTATTTATTGATCTGATTTAAATTCAGGAAAAAATGACTTTCTGTGTAACAAATTGGACCTCTTTGTCTCTTTTTGGGAATTAAATAATAAAATAAACAATCACATAACAGGTTCATGCTATTAACACTACAAAAGATTCCAGATCATGACAAATCTGAGGACTGCACAGATGCAGTTGGTAGCTCAGTTGCCTTGCAGCAGGAAGTTCTTTGGTTTAAATGCTGGTCTACAGTCTTTCTGCATGGAGTTTGTACAGATTATGAACATAACTTTTATTTTCTATCCCAAATTCCAAATTCAAAGTCTGACAACAATAAACAAAAAGAAAAACATTGGAGAAGAGTCATGATGTTGTCATCCCTGGGACGTTGACCTCATGCATCACTGCATAACGCAACTGAAAAAAGAACGTATTGATCGCAGCGTCTCCAGCCGGAATGTGAGCTCATGCAATTGAGATTTATCTGGTGATCTGAGTGGAGAGGAGGAGGAAGTCAGGAAAAAGGTCCTGACTGGAGGTTAAAGAGCAGCTCAGACCATTTCAGACTGTAACATTCTGGACGCATTCATCCATCCAACCTGCTTATGGATCATCAGGGGAGGCTGACCAGAAATATTAAAAGCTTTGTATTTTACCAGCTTTACCTTGTATAAGTCATCAATCCAGACATGCAGCTTTGAATAAAAACACGAATAAATATGATAATCATTTAGTTCTGTGTTACAGTTTACATATCATGTCCATATATTTCATTCACCTCAATATAACAGCAGCGTCTGAGAACCCAGGCGAAGTTTTATGATTTTTTTCCACCTCAAGGTTCCTGTGCTATTTTTGCAGCCTAATGTTATAATGATGGAGCTCCTTTCCTTTGTGTGTATTATCACAGTCATCAGTTCCCTTTAGTCACCCAGCAAACAGCAGCTCTGTTCCGAATCTCAACAACCCCGCACAGGAACTGCACTTGACCTTTCCTTCCCTGCATACGTCTCTTTGTGAAAGCAGCCATAAGCGGCTGACAGGGGAGGGAGACTGCACCAACAGTTTTTAGAAAAAGCAAAAAAAGAAAAAGAAAAATTGTGCAAATTTTGGTATTTTCACTGCACCATAATGGGTCATTACTAAACTGAGGTGAAAATAATTTGCTGAGATTGACCTGTCATGTGCAGATGTGTGTTCATTTTCAATTCAGAAGGGAATAACAGACTTTACAAAACATGGAGAGGGTTTTTTTGTTGTTGTTGCTTTTCATACTTTCTGTGCAGATTTTAAATAAAATGCACACATATTCATGTCATTTGTGAACATTAGGAACAGAAAAAAGTAGAAATTAACATTTGTAGCATTGTGAAACATTGCCTCTTCATCATGTACCTCATGATAGCATTTCCCACCACTTCTCTAAATTTGGACACCCTGCTGAGTCTCAGGCAGCCCACTGCAGCCCTTCCCTCCTCCTCTTCCTCCCTCGCCTTCAGTCGAGTAACCCACTTGACAAACATAAACCTTCACGTGAATTTACCAGCAACAGACGCAGAGCATTCCCATTTAAAAGTGAACAGGAAGAACAGGATATGCGGTTGCCATGGAATTCTCTCAAAAGCTTTTGGCAAACTGGCACATCCCACTTCTGATGTCAGCACTCAGAGAAGGAAGCATGGAGAGAGGGAGGGTGAGGAAGGAAGGGAAGAGGGTGAGGAAGGAGTTCAGAGAAAAGAGCGAGAGACGAGGGAGAAGTGGAAGGTGTGAGAGAGCGAGCGAGGGAGGGAACAAGGGAGGCAGCCTGTTGCTCCTGATCATCAAACAGCCTCTTCGTACTCCACAAGCTCCAGCGCCTGTGTTGAGATGGAGCAGAGTTGAAGCAAGAAGGAAACACAATTCTTCATCTTCATGTTTCCTGAGCAAGGATACAAGAGCAAAGTAAGTATCTTTTCATTAAAAGATAAAGAAAATGTGATTTTTAAACTTTATTTTTCATGAGGGAAAGGATGCCGTTTCTTTTAAGCAAGTTTGTCCTTGGAGGAGTTTTGTCACAACTTAAAAATCACACTGCAGTTTGAATATTTCCACAGCTATCTGGATGAAGGAAAAGAGAGCACTTGTTACCTGAGAGCTCTAGAGAAGATGTGCAGAAATTTTCCCCATCTTTTGACACCAACTGGAGTGGTGCTGCAGGAGAAACACGGAGCAGAGCAAACGTTTCCTGCGAAGTGAGCTTCTGATTCAGAAAAGGCATTATTTGTCTTTCACAGATTACAGTGATTTGCATGCTGGATGCTCTGCATCTACACCATGGTAACAAGGCTGCGGCCACATTGCAGAATGTTATGGTCTGTAAACATTTGCTGATATCTGAGAGACAGAGTCCGGCTTAGACACTAGATGCTCTGCATCGTTGTCTGGATGGCCACTTGATATCACATTCACTCCTCAAAATCAAATTATTTTTTTAATGAGAATTGATGAGGGAGAAACTTTCACAGCACTGAGTCCTCAAACAGCAAAACCTGGCTGATGTTTCGAGTCCGTCCATCATTTCCAAGCACAGACCATGCTCTCACTTTTAAGATGATGGCAGATTATGGCATGTAATACGATTATATGTCCGCAGCTCTGATGCATGGCCCGAGTCTTTGGGGTCAGTGATATATGATATGTAATACATCAAAGGCTCTCCCTCCTTCAGGTAATTGTGACCATAATGAGATGAACTAATGACTTTATTCTTGTTCTAATAGAGTCTGTCTGATTCTCTTCCACAAAGAGGAAACCATAAAGTAATTAAAATATGCTGTTCTCAGGTACATTTTAGTGTAATCTTCAGCTTCCTCTGCAGTCATTGGCATACCTGGTTAAAAAGTGTAAAAAAAAATTAAAAAAAACCTGAACAATTTATACAATTTTATTCCAGAAACATAATCTCCTAACATTTCTTTAAAAACATGTTTTCACTTAATCTGTTTATTTTTAGCAAAATGCTGCACTCATTAATTCCTCAAAAATACATGAAACTGAAGCATTTTTTATTTTTGCTATTCTTTTTTAAGTTAATCAGAATGTCTTAAGAACTAGTTTAGAACATGGCTTTTAAATCAGGTGTTGGTTTTAAAAAGCCAGGAAAATAACTACAAGCTAATTGGTTGGTCTCAAGTCTCATGACAACCAGCAGACGCCATCTACCTGCCAACATGTTGTCTTTTTTGTCCAACAATCAGTTAAATGAAACAAAAATTGAGCTTCTTTGCATCAAACACTTCAGGTTGATATGGAAAAAAAAAGAAAAACCAATTAGAAAAGCACTTCATAACCACCAAGTTGGAGGATTTGTGATGCTGTGGGTCTGTTCCTCTTATTGTAATCACATAATGTCTATGTTTGGATTATCTGTAGCCTGTAGAGGAACGGTCAAAGATCCCTCTCTCTGGATGCACCAATTAGTTAAATGTTGTAGAAAAGACGAAAGGCTGTAATGTCGACTAAATGTGGTTCTACATCAGCAAGATTGCTAAAAACTTTGCTCTTTGTATTTTTGTTAAAAGCAGTTTTCCAGTTAGATACATGCATTCAACATTTTTCAATCTGAGATTGTGTTACTGAGATAAAAGGTTAATTTAAAAAAATAACATAATGTGTTGATATGTGTGGGGGGTGAGGTTCAATGTGAGTTAAAAAGCATGAATGAACGCAAATCTAATAGACTTTAACTCTAGCTTCATTTATTTACAGAACGTGGTGAATTAATATTAATATTTGTGTGAAAATGTTGAGACATGCAAAATATTTTGTCAGTTTTTATTTTAACGCTGAGCATTAAACCAGGATGGGATGAGTCTCTTACTCCACTTCTTGATCTTCTTCAATTTGACTTCACATCCATCACTTCTGCTCAAAGGAAAGCCCTGTGGCTGTTTGTCAGCTCCATTCATTCCATCTCATCAACCAGAGCACTTCTTCACTCTCTGTGTTTCAGTGTTAAAAGTTCAATTTTTTTTTATTTTTTCAAACCAATCTGGAATAAACCATTGCCCTGGTCAATGCAGCCCACAGAGACCGAGTGAAGATCCTTTAAAACCTGGCAGACAGGGGAGGGTTTCCGCTGCAGGAGGATGCACCCATGCCGATCCTCCGAGACATTTATCAGCGCCTCCTCGACAAAAAGACTTGTTTACATTGCCCTGAGGCAGTTAGGTGGTCGCATGACTGCTGCCCTCACAGGAAGAAAAGGCATCAAAAAGATGAAAAATGATGCACACAGTCAATACAGGGAACCTAATGTTATGCAATCTTTATATAATCAAGTTAGATGAGCACTCACAAACAGCGAGAGTGTGCAATCATCCACTCAGGAAAGAAAAATGCCTGGGATGGAAAAAAAAATGTAATGTGATTATCGACTAAATCTGAAGTATTGATGTAAAGTTAGGATGTTGCTGCAATATTTTTCAGACAGGGGATAATATGGAGCAGCAGTGCTGAAATGTTTGGATTTGTTGGACCAAGGACAGACAGAACTGGCAGACAAACTGCAGACACAAAGTGATGGAGGTGCAATATTTCTGCTGGCTCTTTTCTCTGAACAGTTTCATCCAATTAAAAAGTTTTTTTTGTCTTGTTTTTGAATAGCAGATCTTTTTTTTTTACTTCCTTTCCTGATAAAACGAGTTTAAGCCTTTAGCTCTCTGTTGTTATATCAATTTCAATGACTGAAAGTGAGAAATATCCAGAAGATTGCCAGAATTTGGCAGAAGAGGAATAATGTTACATTTCAAATGCTGAAAGCGACATTAATGCACAAAATGTCCATCCAAGACAAAGATAGTGATGGAAAATGCTCTAGTTTAAAATTGAGTTTATCATGTCAGGATTTATATGCAGAGGAAGTCAGGAGATTTTTCTAAGTATTGTAGCTTGGAGACTTAACAAACCGGCAACCTGGTGGGATTTCAAAGTTTTATGGAGATCCGGCTTGGAATTTATCTCAGAGAGAAATGTCCAATTGAGACAAAAACTTTCATTTGAAACTGAAAAATTATGAGTGTCTTTTTTTCTAAGTTCTGATTCTGATTGTGCAAACTTTATTTTTCTTCATGTAATCAGATTTTTTTAATTGAGTCTCTAAATGTGCTACAACATTGTAGCAATCAAGATATTATTCCTAATACAGACTGGTGTCTCACCAGTCTTCTCATACCATGAAAAAGACATTTCAAGCTAATGCAGTACAGAAGAGGAACGGAAGTGGAGAGAAATTACTTAGTGTTGAAGAGAAAATAAGGTCTCTATTACTAATAGTTATCAAAAGAAAACATTTGATAGATGATTTATGCTCACAAACAACATTGCGGTTACCTTCTTGGTCCATCAGTTGATGTTGCTTGAGCTTTGGTTGTAGTGTTGCCATGAGGTTTATTGTGTTCTTGTCCCACAAGTTTCAAGTTGTTCCTTCACTTTAATCCAAGGTTTCAGTTGTTTTATAGTCCTGGATTAAAAGTGTTTCCAGCAGAAATATCATTTTTGGAAATTAGGAGAAATTATTCTTCATTTTTTCCTCGGCGCTTCGACATGTTTCCATTACTGATGATAGCTGCAGTAAATCATTTAATCTATTTTTATGTGTATCAACAATGTGACTGTGTGCGTCCATTGGAGATTTTTGTTGCTGTTTCTTAAGATAACAATGTATGACATGATTAATGTAAAAGATTTCCAGAAAGTGAGCAAGTAACATGTCGTCATCCAGGCTTTTCTGTTTTAGTGGGCATGACACAAAAGGCCCCTTTTCTTTTGCAAGCTAGATTACTAATTTGTATTTTTCAAGATTTTTATGCTTTCATATCTAAAATATGAGGATATTTGTCTTTTAAGATCCTTCATGGTGCTGAAATTAATTGTATAATAGGAAGAAAGACAGGAAAAAACAGCCATTAGTGCTAACATAGCTCATGACTGGAAAACATTATCTCCTAAGAAGCAAAGAGCAACCCACAGCAGTGGACCACAGACTTGTGGAGAAGATTATAACCCCAAAGCTCGCCCTCCTTCCAGGGTTTTCTGTTTGCATTAATACCACCCACTTCCTACTGTTTACAACTATTCCTACAGGAATTACTGTAGAAAAAGGTCTCTGGTTCAGATCTGCCTCTGGCGTGCCTGACTGTTTCAGTGTTTAACCAGATTTTAGTCGGAGACAAAGAAGAGTGAGACGGCCAGGTCTTGGCAGCTTTTACGGTCCATTAGAGAACAGTGAGCTGTTAAAGGAACAGGGAAAGAATTGGTTGTTGTAAAATTGGGCATTGTGCAAACTAAATGGTCTTCTAGAACATGATAGATCTCAATTATCAGGTGATATCTGTCATTCTGAAGAACACCTCACAGTACCTTGTGGTTTCAAGCAAAATGGAAGAAAATAAGACAATCCTTTTCAGTCTGAACAGCTCGGGCTGTGTGAGTTTTGTGTGTCCAGAAACACTGACAAAAAGTCTGTTACTCATGAATTTACCATGTGTCTGTAATTCACAGAATGAGTCAAGCTGAATTGCAAATCCCTGATTCAGAGACAGATTGATCAAATCTGTTTTGCATAACGCTTCCTTCAATACTGTAGAACTACAAATAGTCGCAACTAATACAGCAGTACGGGTCTCTCAGGAGAACATGTTGCCATTCAACATATGCTATTTCTATAAACACACGTCTGATACAATCTCAACTGTTTCTTAGCTTCTAGATTCACAGTTTTTCTTTTAATTTAACAGGGACTGTTAACATGATCTCCCCCCTCAGCTGATATGGATGCTCTTCAAATTCTCCTGTGGATGGAATTGTGGGAAACGCAGTTCAGTCAGGAAGCAGAGACTCACAGGCCGGTGACTCACCAGGCAATCTGGAGAACATGCCCTGTGGCTTAGCTGCGATAACGCTGGCACCAAAAGAGGCCAGACCTCAGCCGATCTGGTGAGGAGAACAGCCTTCATCTCTCTTTCAGAGAGAGAGAGAGAAAGAGAGACTCCGTCACCCCCTCCTGAGGATGCATCAGAGCCGCGGCGGAGCAGAGAAAAGAGTTTAGAAATCGTTTCTGCGTCTGTGAAGAGACAAAAGCACAATCACTTTAAAGACAAAGTGAGAGATGAAGCAGGCCTCGGGGGGGTTAAGTGTGATTTAATCCGATTGGGGGGAGGCTGAAATAGACTCCATCACATCCACACTATAGAGGTGGGTTGTAGGTGTATGAATGACCTCTGCCACACAAAAGCAGGGACTGTGAAAAGTGTGAAAAATGAAAGAATTTACATAGTTTTATTTCTGGAGTTTATGTTTTTTTCCCCCAACTACAAACACTGGCTGATTTCATAATCAGGCAATGTTTCATACTGTTTTCTTTGGATTACATAATCCAAAGAAACTTTGAAACTTTATTACAAAATGTTAATATTTGTGGCTTTAATGTTAGAAATGATGAAAAAGTTGTGTTGGTATTTGTTCCCATCAAGTTTTTCCACATCAAACAATTTATAGATAAACAGATGGTAGTTTTATGTCTTTTTTCTTCAGATTCACATTTAGCAGCAAGAATTAGAATGAAAATTCTTAGAATAAAAATTGAAATGAAGCAGAGAAGAGCTCAGTGAACAACATCTGGCTTCATGGGTGGAAGCTCCTGCTGGCTGTAATCAGTACGGCAAACAAAAGCTGACAGCGCAGGTGCTTAATAACCATTCGGTCGACACCCACTTCCCCATTTTAGAAGCCAAGACCTTCCTCCTAAACCCAAGCTGGCATTGCAGCATTGACAGTTTAATCTCTGACAGGCTAACCTGCCTCCCCCTAAATTACTGTAATTGATTCAATTAGTGTGTACATTGGCCAGGAGTTCCTTCTTAAAACGATGATGCACAGTAAAAAAAATGCTGCCTTTTCTTCCTTCTTCCTCTTGTATTTTCTCTTACCTCTAAAGAAGAAAAAGCGTTAAAATATTGAATTACTTTTTCTCAGCTCAACTCAGGGGGTATGGAAAATATAATCTCCTTGTAACATACAGAAAATAATTACATCAGTGAATTATCTAGCACTCAGAGGAACATCATTATTTATAATTCCCAGGCTGCAGTGGGTAACAGATGTTTATGCACACTGCAGGGGGATGAAACCGTTATCTCTCTATGCCTACTGTATCTATCAGTGACAGTGTTTAATGATTCATAAATGTCATATTTCCTGCTTCAGACGGTGAGAAAGACTTGAAGGGATGTTTTCAGTGCCACTTGTTAGCCTGTTTGGAGAATCTGCCGACATCCAGAGAGCGCAGCAGAAAGTATTTTAAGATCTTGATCATGTTATATCCTGCAATGACTTGAAGGAAAACTCTAATTTTTTTTAAATAAGCTGCTCATAACTATTGAATAATCTTTGTCACAGTAGGCCTGAATTGCTGTTAAATGTACAAATATTTTCAGACTAACGGCACACTTCCAGATTTCCTTTATTAAATATATTTTTTGTTTTATTAGTTTTCACCATAACTGGAAAGAAATGATAGCTTGTCATGTTGTTTTTTCTAATATGTGAAGTTTTTATGTGGTGCCTAAATTAGGAGCACAGTTTCTCAAACTCATTCCCAACTCAACCTATTTGCACTTCATCAAATCACAGTCCGTGCATTTACATGCACAATATTATTTTTTCTGATTGCATCCAAAAACAGAAGCAATTTGAATAATTTTGCTGCTTGCAAAAGGTCAGGAATCTTAATATTTCTGTGCAGTTTAACTTCTTACCCTCGACTTCCAGTCTTCAGTAAAAATAATAACTCCTGCATGTAAATCTGCCATTAACACAACAAAACTGTGTCAGTTTGCTATGGCAAATAAGGAAACACCATTAAAAAAATAAACAGAATACTGATTATTATTATAGTTTGAGCAAGGAAAAAAACTTAACATCCTGGTTATACACCATGGCTGTGTTTGGTCTAAGTGCATTTATCCCCCATTCAGCAGCTTAATCAAACTTTAAATAAATTAACAAAGTTCATAAAATTATGACCTCTTATTATATCATACTAACAATGATCAATCTATCTATAAAATAGAAAATATTTTATAGATAGATAAAATATTTAAAACGTTGACCACCAACGTTTTTACCATGTTGGTGGTCAAAACTGGTTTGAAATAAACAAAGTTTTTTATTATTATTTATGAAAAGACTAAAAGTGTAGTAGTTTAAAAGCATTGTTATATACTTCTTGTATACATATATTAGTGAACTGCTCTGGTGTGTTCTGGTAAAGAGGAAGCTGAGCTGAAATGGGAAGCTCTCGACTTACCAGATCATCTTCATTCTGAAGCTGAAATTTGCTTTTTTCATGGCTTGTTTGGGTCAAATTGAGGAAGTTGTGATCTCAGGTGTTTGACATCCTGATTGCCTCCCTTTGTAAGTTTACCAGTTGCATCCAAATGTGAGGAGAAACCAGGAAAAACCAAAACGCATTGGAGGGAAATCCAGTTGAATTTCCAAAGAATATTTTTAGTGTCACTGGGGAGACATGGGTCTGAGTTTCTTGGTTACCCCAGCAACCTGATCTGATCTGGCTGCACTATGTTAACTATCTGAGCTTTGACTTGGCCTTGGTCAGAAAGTTTCTAGCTTTCTTTTTCTCATTGAGGCTTGGCCTTTGTGCTGGCCTGTTGATGCAGTCATTCATCATCCATTTGACTGAAAAAGCAAACAGTCTGTTGGTTTCCTGCAATAAAAACAAAATCTGTATCAGGTGATATGGCCTCAAATATTTACTGGTATAATTTTCAATAAACATAGAATATGAGCAAGTTTGTCAGATTAAGACTTTTCCAAAAATCAGTTTTTTTCATATTTGTTAAAACTGTTACCATGTCTTAACAGTATGAGACATAATCTGTAAAAAGATTGATCAATTCCACCTACTATTGCTGTCTTAAGAAATATAGCTCCTCGTTAAAAAGAACCAATCAGAGCCAGGAGGAGAGTCTTAGCACTGCCAACCAACTTGTGTACATGCTGCTTGATGTGCTAGTGGCAGGGAAACAGCTTATAGTTACAGGAAGCTACAGGAAGGGTACATAAGCTTCATTGACAGCAATAAGACCCTCCTCCTGGCTATGATTGGTTGTTTCTAAAAAGCACTGGAAGTACTGGGAGAAGAGCTTTATTTATTCACAGATTATCTGTCTCATGCTGTACTTCCACAACATAGTAACAGAAAAACATATTTTTTCTAAAGGACACATACCTCAACTATAATTATCCATTGATATTTAAAGTATTCATCATCAATAAATGAGGAATCTGAGCATATCCCACAATAGGTGAACTTTCAGAAGAATTGTCAGAGTAACCAGTTTTATTCTCTCTTTCAGTCTGTGAGGGTGAGATCGCGCTGATGGGAGGTTGAGCACAGGGATGTGACAGTAAAGATGACCCTGTTGGCGGGTGATGGTTCTGACTACGACTACAGTGCCCTAAGCTGTGCCTCTGATACTTCCCTCAATCAACCTCCCCAACAAGAAGCAGAGGCTCGGAAGGGAGCCTTCTACAAAAGGGCCCAGCTCGCCCTGGAGCGCACCACCATCCCTGACAACACCGCTTTGTCCGGCGCCCGGAAGATCCACGCCATCATTAATGTGGGTGGCCTGCGCTACCAGATGCCTTGGACCACTTTAGAGGATTTCCCTCTGTCCCGCCTGGGCCAGCTGCACCTCTGCAGCAGCTTTGATGAGATTATGCGCATCTGTGATGACTACGACGTGGCACACAATGAGTTCTTCTTTGACCGCAGCCCCTGTGCCTTCAGGACCATCCTGACGTTCTTGAGGGCCGGTAAGCTGCGCTCCCTCAGGGAGATGTGCGCTCTCTCGTTCAGAGAGGAGCTCCTCTACTGGGGCGTCCCGGAGGAGAGCCTGGAGTGGTGCTGTCGCCGGCGCATGCTGCAGCGTGTGGAGGAGTTTGAAGCCATGGAGAAAGCAGAAGAAGAGGATGAACTTTTGGAGGACCTGTTGGATTCGGAGAATGGGCACAGGGAGCGCACGGCTGAGTCCAGAATCAACTGGTGCATGAACAAACTGAGAGACATGGTGGAGAGGCCTCACTCCGGCCTGCCAGGGAAGATCTTTGCTTGCTTGTCAGTGTTGTTTGTTACCATCACAGCCATCAACCTCTCCATCAGCACCATGCCGGCTATGAGAGAAGAGGAGGAGGCGGTGAGTAAAAGAGCATTTAACATATAAAATCATTTTTATTTAAATACAGCAAAGACGCAGGAACAAAACAACATATAGCCTACTTTATGGGCATCAATGTCTTTTTGTTTCTGGGCTTTTATTAATGCATCTGAAAAAATCTGGTTACAGAATAAACGTAATTTGCAGAGTAAACATAAATGGAACTGCTGTGGAAACAGTCTTAACCCACTTCAAAATAAAAGGATGATCATAAACAATTTTCCACAGTCAATAATCCAAACGTCAACACAGATGTCAAATTTACTTTAACTGAAAGTTTACAAAACAGCACTATAGAATTTATCCAGAAAATATATATATTTAGGGGAAGCTAAACATTTTTAACGAGCAAAATGACAAATTAGCTTAACTATTAGGATTAGTGGAAGTCTGTCCACCACTGCAAACAGGTTTTACTACAATCATTAATAATGGTATTCCAGCAGTTTTCCTGGATTATTCCTGATCAGTATTGGCAATTTTTGATTTTTTGGGAGTCATAATGGAAAATCTAATTTGAACTCTGCCAATTCTGATAGTAAGAGTGGTCTGGTATCCAGCCAGAGTTATTAAAAAGTTCTCAATAAGCATTCATGTTAAAGAATATTTGGATAAAACAACAAAAAATGTTAACAGTAAGGAATGTGAAAAATAAAGAAATTCTTAACTGAAACTTTTTATCTGACCTGTCCAAATACAACTTCTGTTTCCAAGCTACCTTTTCATTCCCTCTCAAAGAAAAAAAAAAAAAAACAAGCAATGAAATTTTTCTGGTGGTTTACCTGTTATTCCTGCAAACATAAAGCAAGTTGCAGGAATAACATCATTGCTTTTCACATGTCAACATTCTCCCCACCTTCGTCTCCTGAGAAAACTTCATAAGCTCCTCTTCCTCAGCCTTAACTTATTAGAGAATAAAAAGATGTTCCAGGAAAGAACGTGATCCCAGAGACAGCAAGTGTTGCTCTAGTGTGTTTTTCTGCATTAATGCTACTACCATAGAAGTGTAAATAAACTTTGCTGGAGGCATTGTCAGTCCCAGATGTTTCTGGCTTCTTGGTTAAGCCAGGAATCTCTGGAAACATTTGCGATTTTAACTCTGCTTTATAGAGACTCACAATGTTTCCCAAGACTTAGTCTGGATGGTTCTGTTGGGTTTTTGATGCAGTAGATTACTGATCAGTAGACCAAACCAGAGATCTCAGTGGATTGCTCCGAAACCCTTTTCTGAAATTTATGATTCCTCAAAGGTTTAGTGAGGTTCTGCACAAATGTTAAACGTTTTTATTTAAAGAATATTTTTTAAACAGTTTGATGATTTAAAAAAAAAAAACATTCTCAGGAAGTTATCCAGAATTTTTACCCCCTGCTCTTCAAAATTTTTACCTTTCCGAAATCCTGTTTTGTACTAAATTATTGAAAAATCAATTGCAGGTCTAAAGTGAAATTTTCCTTAACTTTTTTTTTAATGTGCATATAAAAATAGTATTAAATCAGCATTAAGTTTCAAAAATAAAAGAAGTTTTAAAATGGAGCTCCACAGACAAGTTTTTTCTTTAGTATTTTTAATTCTGTCTCTATTTATTTTATTTAATAACTATTGCAAATATGTTGCTTTATGGGATCATCAATAGATTCAACCTAATCACAACTAGTTATGTCATGTTTCAATGCTGTCAAATTAAAAAAAGAAATATAAAAGAGAGACCACTGGAAGAGCAGCGGCACAGAATTGATGTTTTCCAGATTAGAAAAATATTCATAGACATCACAGGCTGTATTATTATTGCGTTTTACTTCAGTCACAGCTTTAATTAAAAACCTTAGCCTTCACTTTCACATAAAAGGAAAGTGGATTTTTAGCTATTCACACAGAAAACGACAGAAGTTTTATAAATAAATCCTAAATCTGAGCTTTTACCACAAAATCTCAGTGACTGCAGATTATATTTCCAACTGCTAACAGGAAGATTTAAAAATTATGCAAAACAAGTTTCTTTAGATGCAAAAATGTGAACTTTTCAGTGTTAAACTGAAATATAATGATGTTAAAATCTTCTCTATTACACATTTCTAAACCAAGCCCAATCCCTGCTGATGAAAATGAATAAAAAGAGTTCTTGGGATGTAACTGAGTTCAAAAATTTAGTTTGAGCCAACAGGCCTCCCTTGTACTCACGCCTCATTTTTCTTAATATGTCTCTGCGAGAATGCTTAATTAAAAGTGGCAACAATCTGATTGTAACAGACTGCTTCTGGTTCCTGTCTGCCAGAGAAAGTTTTCAGCTTCTGCTGCAAGTTTACTCAACATTTCCTGCAATTCTGCAGTATTTCCATTATAATATCATAATATAAGCATTCCAAGTCTGTGATATGTTTACAACTTTAACCTTTCTGTTCCCTTCAAATGTTTCAACACAGTTTTAACTCAGCATGACATGGACAAACCCCTGTATTGTGTTTACCTACTTAATTTGGAAGTTTAGGCAAATTATGAAGTATTTTGTGTCTAAAACGCAGTTATAAAAAATCCAGCTATTTAAGAAATACGATCTCTCTTAGTCCTTGATTAGGGTCCCAGTGGAAGCAAGGGGTATTTCAAGGACTGGACTTATTTCTGTAAATGTTTCTCTTGGCAAAACAGTTGAAATGACTGTTGATGTCACTTCCCACACTTTATTGGGTCATTCTCAAGATTTCTTTAAGTGAAGTCTTAGGCTATGTTCAGACTGCAGCCTGAAGCGACCCAAAACCAATTTGGTGGGGTTTGGGGTTTCTTGCGTGGTCGACACACTTACTACTTGTACGTGATCTCCTGTGTGAACTGCAAACGACCTGGAAGTGTCCCGCATAGCAGTAGAGGGCGCAATAACATAACCCATAGATGTTTTTTGCCGACCGCCATTAAAAGAAGAAGTGTGTAGTGTTTGCGGAAGTAAATGTGGATGCTAATGGTGAAGCTTATCTTACAATTTGTAAGTTATTGTCCGACCCGTGCCAGCACACTAACAGCTTAATCTTCATTATCGTCCGCACTGCTTGTTGTTTTTCTTCCTGGTCGCGGATGTCAGGGCGCAGAATAGTGACGTTTATCGAGTATCAATCAGGTATCAATGACGTTCAGGTCTGATGAATGCGACCTGGCAGTACAGACTCAGGTCACATCTGAAAAGATCAGGTACGTAAGTTTCCTGGGTCGTATTCGAAAAAATCAGATCTGTGTTTTTCAGTCTGTCATGAAAAATCAGATACAGGTCGCTTAAGGGGGGGCAAAAAAATCGGAATTGGGTCACTTCCGGCTGCAGTGAGAACGGAGCCTTATTTGCATTTTTGAAACGATTATGGTGCGTTTAATTTACACTACGAAGTTGGATTTTCTGGTTCCGAGTCAGAGAAGTTGACTAGAACTGGAATGATCCCTGAAGTCAGATTACTAACTCGGAAAGTCAGCAATCTGTTCTGTAGTGCGAACAAGTTTGTATTAAAGAACAGCACAGCAACAGCAATGACTTGTATGTAGAGTCTGTTGTGACACAAATAGGTAAGTTAAGAAGTGGACATACATATTTTAAGGAAAGGCTGTAAATTAATACGAAATATATGAATATAGGGGGAAAAAAACATACAAAACAAAATAAATCACCAAAAAAAAAAAAAAAAGCCATGTGTTGCTTGTGCAGCTGCATCCTGTTCTGGTTAGTTTCATGCTGATGTGGCTCCCTCTAGTGACTGTAACGTGCTGATGGGCACAGGGGGATTTTTTTTTTTTTTTTTTTTTTACAGGGCACATGTTCCAAGATGTGCTACAACATCTTCATAGTGGAGACCATATGTGTGGCCTGGTTCTCCTTGGAGTTCACCCTGCGCTTCATTCAGGACCGCAGCAAGCTGACCTTCTTCAGAAAGCCTCTAAACCTGATCGATGTGGTGGCCATCCTGCCCTACTACATCACGCTGCTGGTGGACGGTTCGTCCAAGGGGGAGAAGCGCCTCGGCTCCGGCAGCAGCTACTTGGACAAAGTGGGCTTGGTGCTACGCGTCCTCAGAGCGCTGCGCATCCTCTACGTGATGCGGCTGGCTCGCCACTCACTGGGCCTGCAGACTCTTGGCCTGACGGCGAGGCGCTGCACACGGGAGTTTGGACTGCTCCTCCTTTTCTTATGCGTGGCGATTGCTTTGTATTCACCCCTTCTGTACCTGATTGAGAATGAAATGGCCAACACACAGGAGTTCACAAGCATCCCCGCAACCTATTGGTGGGCTGTGATCACTATGACAACCGTTGGTTATGGGGACATGGTGCCAAGGAGCATCCCGGGTCAGGTGGTAGCTCTCAGCAGCATTCTGAGTGGCATCCTCCTGATGGCGTTCCCCGTCACCTCCATCTTTCATACCTTCTCCAGATCATATGTGGAGCTGAAGCAGGAGCAGCAGAGGATCCTGCAGAGGAGGACACACTTCCTGCTGCGTAGCCGCATGGCCGGCCTGGGCAGCAATGTCTCCTTAGAAAGTGACATCCTGTTTCCCATAGGGCCACCTGAAGCCAGAGAAATGAACAACTGAGACTGCAGTAGATGAGGACAACATGTGGCTGTCCAATTACAGGCAGAGTGGAAAGAAGATCAATGTCACCCATTGGACTTTTTTGCTTTTATCACATTGCAACAACAAACTTAAAACTGCAGTATTTAACTTATAAAGAACATGTTTTGTTTTTTGGGGGGTTTCTTTACATATTTTTTAAAACTGCCATCATGTCGTGACAGGGTAATATGCAAAAGATAATCTGTGAAAAGATTGATCTTATCCATCTCCATGAGCTAGTACTGGCATCTAAACAAATGTGCTTCTCCCAACCAAAAACAACCAATCAGAGCCAGGAGGAGGGTCTTAGCACTGTCAATCAAACTCATGTACTCGCTTCCCCCTGAGAAACAAACAACTTACCATTTAGCTGTGGCCATGACTGAGCATTTAAAACAGTCTATGCTAGCTGCAATAGGGAAGGGAACGGGAGGGAGGATGAGCATCACCGCACCAGATTGTGATTGGCAGCGCTAAGTCCCACCTCCTGGCTCTGATTGGTTGTTTCTAGTTAGCACTGGGAGCACTGGACAAAGGCAAAGAAGCTTGATTTTCTTTCACATATTATCTGAGACAACATAATGACAGTTTCAATAAATATGTAAGAAACAGAAAAGAGAAAGTTACATATTCCTGCATGAAGTGTATGAAAAATTGGATTTTCAGTGGTAGACCAACAAAATGTAGTGCATTGTTCTGATATGGAAGAAAAATATACATATTTTATTTTGCTTCTCTACCTAAAAACATGTGAAGTTGTGGCATCAATTTGTATTTAGCCTTTTTTTGTTCTGATACCCCTAAATAAACTCCAATGCAAACAAATACTTTCAGTTTAAATAACCCCACTTCACAACAAATGATTGATACTCCAGAAATGTATACATATATTGTAATTTAACCATTTTTAACATCAAAAATTAACCATGTGAGTTGGTTAAGGGACAAATTATAAACAAAAATGCAAAATTATTTAACAGAGGTAAAAGTTGAGACATGCTAGCCTATAACTTCACACCCTTTGATAGAAACAGCCGAGTCATTCACAGCATCTCAATGAGACCAGGATCTGGGTTTATGTTTGGCCCAGGAAATTTGTACAAGCATTCATTTTTATAACACTGCCTGTTTTATGAGACTTATTTAAATCTTAACCTGAAGGTAATGCAGTCTTCTTTCTAACACTCTTCAGTTTCACTTCTGCAGTCGGGAGGAGTCCAAACTAAATGTCTGAAACACAACAAACCTCCTTCAAAATGCTGAGTTATGATTTTCCAATCATGTGCGCATGATGTGAGATTTTTTCCAGTCTAAGTAACTAAATGTGGTAGTGAATATTCAAATGTCCAGATATGTCAGAAAAGCAGGCAGTCAAACCAGTCATAATTTTTCTTTTTACAACTGTACAATTCATACTTAAATCAATTACTTACAATAATTACTGAGACAGACTGAAATTTAAATACAAATATTCCAAATCGATCCTAGTTATAAAAGCAATGCAATTTCAGTTTGTAACAACAGTTGGTAAAAAGTTAGACTCTAACATTCTGTAATTTAATCTCAGCATAAATGCATCTATTCTGCCACAGACATTTTGGGATGTCAGAGTAAAAGGCCTTCAATTCAAAAGAATGTCACAATTATCAGGTCTTTACTTGCAAAAGGTGTTGAAAATGTTTTATTGTTTGTGTTCCACTTCACAATTACATGCTACTTTGTGTTGGTCTATCGTGCAAAATTTTAATGAAATACACTGAAGTTTGTAGCTGTAAATTTAGAAAGGCGCTGTTGGTGGATTATGTGGAGACAAAACAAAAAACAAAAGCAACTAATGGTTTTCCTTCAGGAAAATCAGGTTCCTGTGTAGCATGAAAGCACCTGGCAAAAAGGAAAAACATCAAAGCATCTATGACGCATTTCAGTTTAACAGCTGAAGGCTTTGCAAAGCATTGAAAATAAGTCGAAGCCATTGTATTCAATTAAAAATGTAGGTACAAAGACTTTGCTCAAGATCAAGCTGAATAACAAACAATTAGCTGCATGTGTCTAATTATGCAACTAATTCTGCTGTTAGTCACATTATAGGGAGCTTTTGCATCTAGTTTACTAAAAGCAATAGGAGTTTTTGAATGAATGGTCCATCCATCTCTCCCCACACACACAACCAAACACACACCAACTCTCCTGATGAGTATTCTGCTGATTAGATTAGATATATTTTTGAGAAAACTAAGAATCAATTTTTTTAAAAAAGAAAAAGAAAACAGAAATTTCAAAATTCATTACCTCTTTTTTGTTTGTTTTGCTTCATGACACCCTACAGGTCATGTCGAATATTAAGGTTAGAAAAATTTTAGAAATATATATATTTGCATTTTGCATTGCAGAATGTTAACTAAGTTGTAAATAAAAAGACACAAGAGCAAAGGACAGAAAATATAGAAGGCCATGTCATGTCATTTACACACAAACAGGCTGTTTCTCAGCTGATTAAAAGTTTAAGAATATAGATATATAATCCTCTAAAAATAAAAACAACAATAACAAATTATGAGATGTCATAAAAGTAGTAGTTCAGAGTAGTTCTGTTGAGAAAGTTTCGCCTTGTGGTGTGGACGGCTTCTCAAAGGTTTCACTTTTTACAAAATCTGAATCTGCAGCTTGTTTTCATCTGGGGGTGTCCAAAGTGTGGCCTGAGGGCCATTTGTGGCCCTTGGATTGATTTTCTTTTACCCCTCAACTCCAGTTAAAAAAAGCTATAATTTTGTTTATTAAACTTTTATTTATAAAATTACTATTTTATAAATAAAAATTGTTTTCTTGAAATGGAAAATATGAAGTCTGCAAAGCATTAATCATTTTACAACCAAACTTTTAAAAAAAGCAGAACCATATTTATCCAGAGATTTTACTGAAAAACCGAGTTTCCTGCATCCGGTTTAACTTTTGTGTAATTTATTAAACTCAGCTTAACATAGTGAGTGTTTTGAAAGAAGATCCAAATTTTGCTTTTATAGCTAAAAGCAAATTTGCTCAAATGAGCCCAAAAGAAATTGAAAATGGATTTTTCAATTTTGGAAAATTTTAAATTTTTCCAAATTTTGCAAATGTTTTGTTTGCAAAAAGGACTTTGCAATCAAGCAAAATCCTTTTTAAGTTTTGTATCTACAAACAGAAAAAAAAGCTATTTGCTTTATTTTAGTCTTTTTCTTCTTTCTTTCTTGACTTTTGAAAACTTCTGACTTGATAATTTTGACCCACATGACAAAATTCTTTGGAGGCCTCTGTTTTAGTCAAATCCATTTTTTTCCCTTCCAAGGAATATCACAACTGAATATGTGGTCAGTCCAGGATTGGTTGTGCACAAAAAAAATAATTATGAAGGACACAAAAAGTGGGAAAGGAAAAAAGCTATTTCAAAAAAGCAATGCATTTCAATAAAATTATGCTACAGCAATATGAAGTCCATGTAAAGTGTAAGAGTTCAAGCCAGACTCTTAGTTATCTGTGTTAAAATCTTAAAATACACTCTGGTGTAACATAAAGAGCATTGGTAATGTTTATTTAGGAAACCATTATTTTTTTCCGAATTTAAAATCTAATTGATTTGAGAATCCATGGTGCAGATTGTCTCAGTGTAACTCAGCAGAAGCTGCTGTATGTTTATCATAAATCCTAAAGCCGTAACGGATTTTATGCCCAAGCTCAAACTTAATCCACTGAGTGTTTCCTGAGTGACTGTGAAAACTCTCAAAGTTTTTTATACTCTGCTCCCCAGCACAGTCAGCATCTACATATTAATGATGTTGTGGTAATTATCCTTCGTCCTCTCAGCGATGCTTCATATGCAATTTCTGAAGATGATTGTCTCTAAAATTGCTGCTGTGGCTGTGAATAGCTGTTTATAAATGAGTTCCCCCGTGGACGTGGATTACACTGGGTTTTTGTCTTTTTGTGTATAATGCTGTCTGATTGCTTCTCATTCTGACACAACATTTGCAGATCTGAGCTGGAATCCAAAGTCTGGGTGTCCAGGTTTTGCCTGTGTTTGGATCCGAAACATAAGTAGTCAGGAAAAATGTAATGTTGTCTGTTCAATTTTTAAAACTCATTAAAGAATAAGAAACGACAAGTGATAAGGGAATTTTTGATGGCTGATAGTTCTTCACCTAAGAGATTCATACATGAAAAACATGGAAACATCACATCTAGGGAAACCGGATCATTGCTGCAGGAGTTTATAGAATTATATTTGTTATAAATGTCAAACTTAGAGTTTGACAATAGTTGTGATACAGGATAGGCAAAGTAGAATAAACAGTGGTGAAGTTACAAAGCTTAGTATCAGTTCTAATACACATTTTTCTCAAAATTTACTGAAAACTTAAAAAAAAACTCAAAAAGAAGAAAACAGAACAAAAAATACAATCACTCTCAAATCCTGACACTGTGAAAGTACAGAATATATGATCAAATAGCTTTTATTAATAAATTATCCAGCAGCCACACTTAATTTGAGTGCTGTTCATGAGATTTATTTTTTAAACTAGTAGGTTCTTTCTATAGATTTTAAATTTATTTTAATCATCTTATTCACATTTGAATATTTTATTGAAGTGTTATCCTTGTGAATCATGTTCGGCTCGCTATATGTTTGCTGTTCTGTATTTATTGGGGAAATCCAGTGCATTTTTTTATTTTATGGCGTAAAATAAAGAATACCTCATACAGGCAGTGCAACTACACATTATTCAGGTGGATGCGAAAACATAAATAAATATTCCATTCAGATGATGTGTTCTCCCGTTTGAACAGTAGAGGGCAGCCTTGTTCTAAATAATTCCTTTTAAACAAAGCAAAGATAAGAAATTTCGTTTTTCTGTAATTGTGAGACTTTTTAGTCCATACCAGTCTTTATTTTTAGTTTTCCAGTAGATGACACGAAATTGAAGAATGGTTGTAGAATTTCTTTAATAAATAATTAAATGGTAATTGTTGTGTTTAGTCCTGGAAAATGCAGACACTGGGTGAATCACAGTCTGATATCAGGCGCAGGTTGGGACCTGCAGCCTCAGGTGAGGAGGCGCTCATCATCAGAGACGCCATTCAGCCAAATCACAGAAAACCTGTGCGTAAAACCTCTCTGACCAATCAGAGCCTGAGAATCCACAGAGGCCCCGCCCCTCGCCCTGCCCCTGCACATCCCAGTGTTTTGATCCCGGTTTGTTTCTGTGTTTTTGCTGCAGAGGATCACAGCGTCGCTCGGCTTTTTTCACGGATCTCTGTGGTCCACGCTTGTCCACCTTCTTGTTTTCTGTCTGTCTGAGTTAGAAATAAAAAATAAAAATAAAAAGATGTCTCCTCAGCTCCGGAGGGTTTCCCCATCATGACCTCACCGGGCCGCCGCCGCTCCTCTTCACCGGGATTCCTCACCGCTCTTCAGTGAGCCTGGCTTCATTTTGGCACCTCCTCGCTCCGCTTCAATCCGCTGATTTTTTTATTATAATATATTTTTTATTTATTTCTGGATCTGT